GGGAAATTCGAAAATCTGGGGGGGCGGAAATCCTAAAATCTGGGGAGAAATCTCAAAATTTAGGGGGAGAAATCCCAAAATTGAGGGAGGAAAATCCTGAAATTGGATGGGGAATCCCCAAAAAATCGGGAGAGGGACCCCAAAATCGATGTGGGAGCCCCAAAATTGGAGGAGACCCCAAAATCCCGGGATTTTATTGGGGTTCCCCCCGGGGAGGGGGGCAGGATGCAGACCCCGGGTTTGGGGTTTTCCCCCGGATTTTGGGGTGTCGCCCCGGATTTTGGGGTCTCCCCCCGGATTTTGGGGTGTCGCCCCGGATTTTGGGGTCCCCCCCTGATTTTGGGGTCCCCCCAGGTGCCTTCAAGTCCCTGGACCGGGACGGGTCGGGGCAGATCCGCGTCAGCCTCCAGGAGGTGGGTCTGGGGTCTCGGGGGGATTTTGGGGTCCCCCCCCGTTGGTTTTTGGGGTGTCCCCAAAATTTGGGGGGGGTTCCGTGGGGGGGGGTAAAGGAGGGAGACCCCAAAAGGTCCAAAAAACCCCAAATGGGTTTGTGTCACTGCAGAGACCCCAAATCTTTCAGGGACCCCCAAATCCCCCTGGGGTGACCCCAAAACTTCAGGGACCCCCCAAAATCCCCCTGGGGTGACCCCAAACCCTCTCTGGACCCCCCAAAATCCCTCTGGGGTGACCCCAAACCCTCAGGGACCCCCAAAATCCCTCTGGGGGGACCCCAAAACTTCCTGGGTGACCCCAAACCCTCTCTGGACCCCCAAAATCCCCCTGGGGTGACCCCAAACCCTTCAGGGACCCCCAAAATCCCCCAAATCCTGACCGGGTGTCCCCCCAACAGTGGCTGCAGCTCACCATGTACTCCTGAGGGGACCCCCAGGACCTTCCAGAACCTTCCAGGACACCCCAAAATCCTCCCAGACACTCCAGGACACCCCAAAACCTCCTTGGACCCTCCAACTGCACCCCCAGCCTCCCCAGTCTGCACCCCCTCCCCAAATAAAAACCCCCCAACCTTGCTTGGTACCTCCGGCTCTGATTTGGGGGCGTCTGGGGGGGATTTTGGGGGGCACCCCCAGCCTCCCCAGTCTGCACCCCCTCCCCAAATAAAAACCCCCCAACCTTGCTTGGTACCTCCGGCTCTGATTTGGGGGCGTCTGGGGGGGATTTTGGGGG